CCGCCGGCCCCTGGCTTTGCTTCATGTCGCCCCCGTGCCTGCCCGCCCAACCCCCACCCCCCCCTCAGACTAGCCAGCCCGTGCTGGACACGTTCAAGCTCCTGCGCCGCTACGGCCTCGCCCCCGTGCGGTGAGGCCGGCCCCTTGACCACGCGCGGCCGCGGCGCCCCACCGCATGGCAGCACGTTCACACATCTCGCCTCGCATGCCTACTATCGTACTGCGGCGCCACACCATTGCCTTGGAGCATGCCGCGGTCGAATCGGCGTGTGAAATCGCCGCGCCGCCCCGACGGCCGTCAGCTGCCGAGCAGCAGCGCGCGCCACCCATCAAGCGTGTGACCCGCCGCTCCGCCATCGGGCGCAGCCGCCCTTGCAACCGCTGTCTCCGCCTCCTCGCGCCCTCGCGCCCCAGCCCCCGCTCTTACGACTTCGAACTCCGCGCCAGTGCCCCAGCCCCGGCCGTTTCTTCAACCCCCTTTCGCCGCCCCTCGCCCTGCCTCGCAGCTACGGCCAGCTGGCAAAGGACGCGGGGCGCCGCTTCGGGTCGATCTACGCGCTGCAGGACTCGCAGCGGCGCGCGTTTGGCAGCCCCAGGGAAATGCTGGAGGCGATGGGGCTCTACGAGCTGACTCAGCAGAACGCGCGGGAGCACCTGGAGGTGGGTGCCTGCGGCCGGGCTTGGGGGAGGGGCTCCAAGGGGTTGGGGTTTGGGGGCGGGCTTCGGCCGGTCGGCTTTACAGGGCCCGATTGGGCGCGGCTGTCGGCGCGGCGGCGCGGCGCGGCGCGGCTGCTGGCTCAGCAGTGCGCTCGGCAGGCTCTGCGTTGGGTATGGCGTGCGCACGAGGGTAGGGCAGCGCGGCGCGCTTGGGAGCACCTGCACGTGCGGCGCGTGGCATGCCCGGCCGGCGGCGTGCGTTTGAGCGAGCCGGTGCCCGGGCGCCCGCCCGCAGTGCTTGCGCTGAACGGCCCCGCGCCGCACCTGCCCACGTCCCTGTGTCGCGGCTGTCGGGGCCGAGCCTCCGCCTTGCGCCGCACTGCGACCCCGCCTGCCATCCAACCCACGCGCGCAAACAAGCAATTTGACCGCCGGCTGCGGGCCGGACCGATCACGACATCGCGTGACTTGACGTGTGGGTCAACGAACGGATTTATCAATCGAGAGGTATCGAGGCATCAGGTTCATCAGTTGTCACGTATCCAGGCATCAGTCAATGTCATAATGAACTCCGGTCAAACGTCTGCCCCCACCCCCCCCCCCCCAGGCCAACCTGAAGGGCCTCTGGTCCTACGGCGCCGCCCGCTTCGCGTCAGAGCTGGCGGGCGCCGTTGACCGCGTCAACTACAACCAGCCCATCTCCTCCATGAACGCCATGGCCGCGCTCGTCAGCTACCTGCCGGCTGCCGACCCCCAGGTCAGCGCGCCCCGCGCGCCACGCCGGTCAGACGCCGGCTTCACCCCTCTCTGCGCCTCGCCAGCCTCTCGCCAGCCCTGTTTCAAGCCTCGGCCTCGCCCTGTGCCTCACCATGCTCACCCAACCTGTGCGCGATGGAGCTGCATGCATGGGGTTTCTGCGTGCCAATGTCTCATTCACAAATCCATCAGCCGGGAGGCCATCAGCGGCCCCTTTGCCAGCGGCCATCGCGTGCGCGCCGTGTGTGTGCGCGCATATACACACGCACGCACGCACACGTGCACACAGACACATGCACGAGCGCGCGCACGCACGCACGCATGCCCACACACACACACACACACACACACACACACACACACACACACACACACACACACACACACACACATGGACACACACACACACCAAAA